CTTCTCTCTTTGTTTTGTTTCTGCCTTTGTTCCGAGAGGGACGGAGATTCCCGGTAGAGCCATGGACTAGGCTGCACTGCAGTGAGCTTTACTGGCGCTGTCCAGTTGAGCTTCCTGCAGTTCAGTCTGGTGCGCCCGCATGCAGCAAAGCCTGCCCACATGGTTCGCTGTGCGGATGTTCTGTAGTGCCTTGACAGATGGCCCACTCGGTGGGAGAGTGGCCTGGTCTGGAATACACTGCTAACTTACGGTGCATCTGGTCCTCTCCGCAGACTCTTGCTGGGACGATGACGCCTACAAGGTGGTGCCCCCAAGATAGCTAAGTTGGTTTATAACTTCAATAACTATGGTTTATGGTAGATATATCTATAGTTAATGGGCTTATAAACCAACTTATAACTGGGGGGCACCACCTTGTAGTGACTCCTGTCAGAGAATCTGGTGCTGGCGCAGCGAACCATTTCAACCTTCATAGCTTAGGGGGACGAGTTCGACTGCAATGCGAATGCAACTTTTGCTTAAATGTCGGCAGTAGCATACTGGTTGTGCTCACGAGCCCATGCTATGGTCAGAATCTTCGTCTGTCTGTAATGGCCGTATAGTGCCGGTCAGGCTTTTTCAGCCACCTTTTTACCCACTGCCCATTAGGGTCTTGGGCCCTTTGCTATCTGACGGTTCCTGTGAGGGCTCACACCATCTGGCATGTCTTACAGGCCGTCAGTACTCTCCTCCCCACCTAGGGGGGGCAATAGATCACAATCCCTTGCGGCGGTGTATATTGACTGGAACAGACTGACTTGCGTACGCTGAACGATGCAGGATGAACAGCAGCGATGCGGGAGTTGCTATATTGACAAGACGTCCATACAGGCGGCCTCTGTCGTGCTACACATCAGTCTGCCTGCAACACTGGATCCTCTTATCTGTTCTCAGGTGAGACATTCTGGGTGATCATGTACTATATTTCACGCACTGCCGCAATGATAATTAGTTTGCATGTTTTTGAGGATGATACGGTGGCTAAGGTCACTGTATCTAAGGCAAATCTGAATGTGTTTTTTGTTTTTGTTGGGCCCTGCCCCGTTCTTTGTTGTTTCGCTGTTTTGCTTTGAGGCGAAACGCAAATCTGGCTGTGGGATTTGCGGGTCGTTTTTGGTTGTGGTGGTTTTGTTGTTTTTTGTTTGTCTTTGGTTTCGTGATGATTTGCCAAAGTTTTTGGACCACACGTGTCCTTGTACATTACTGCTTTTCATTGCTTACGCAATTGTAAGGACCGAGCCTAGTGCGACATCGGCCAAACCGGAGGAAAAAAAAAAAGGAGAAGAAGGAAGAGCAGGAAGGAGAGCAAGGATAGGGGCAAGGAGGAGAGCAAGAAGGAGAGGAAAGGAAAAAGCCAGAAGGAGAGCAAGAAGGCTGGGACAGCTCGCTGGACTGCGTACAGGTCCACTACTAGTACTTTTATGGCTATCGACAAGTAGACAGCCTTGCATGATAATTACAATTCATTTTTTTGCTGCGATTGAACGTGTGTAACGACCTGGCGAAAGCCATGAAGGCGTTGGACGGAAAAAAAAGAAGGAGAGCAAGAAGGAAGGTAAGAGCAAGAAGAGCAGGAGAAGAGCAAGGAGAAAGAAGAAGAGCAAGAAGAAGAGCAAGGATGAGAGCAAGAAGGAGAGGAAAGGAAAAAGCCTAAAAGGAGAGCAAGAAGGAAGGTAAGAGCAAGAAGAAGAGCAAGGAGAAGAGCAAGGAGAAGAGCAAGGAGGAGCAGGAAGGAGAGCAAGAAGAAGAGTAAGGAGGAGAGCAAGAAGGAGAGCAAAGGAAAAAGCCAGAAGGAGAGCAAGAAGGATGGTAAGAGCAAGAAGAAGAGCAAGGACGAGCAGGAAGGAGAGCAAGAAGAAGAGCAAGAAGGAGAGCAAGAAGGAGAGGAAAGGAAAAAGCCCAAAATGCGCAAAACATGTTCGCGCCACTTTTTGGAGGTTCAGAACAAGTGCACGCCGTTGTGGCGGGAAGCACATTTAAACAGTAGGGGTTCGGACCACTTTTGGAGGTTAAGATGTCGCTTCGCTTCACTAGACTACACTACAGTACACTACACTGCATTCCACTACACTGCACTACATTACACCAGGCTACACTCCACAATGCTACAACTAGAACTACACAACTACACTCCATTACACTGCACTACACTCGACTACACTATAAACTACACTACAGAACACTACATTACACATGGAGAGATAGATAGATACATAGAGAGATAGATAGATTGATAGATAGATAGCTAGATAGATAGACAGATAGATAGATACATAGATAGATGGACAGACAGACAGATAGATAAATAGATAGATGGACAGACAGACAGATAGTCAGAGAGACAGCTAGAGAAATAGATGGAGAGATGGACAGATAGATACATAGACACATAGACAGATAGTTAGATACCAAGACAAATAGAGAAATAGATGGGTAGAGACATAGACAGATAGATAGACAGATAGACAGATAGAGAGAGAGAGAGATATATATATGTATATAGAGAGAGAGAATTTGATTGATAGATAGACAGATAGACAAATAGATAGAGAGAAGTTAGCTCGATAGATAGATGGATAAAAAAAATGATAGATAGACAGACATATAGATAGATTGATCGATAGATAGATCGATAGATAGATCGATAGATATACGTGGGATTCAAGCCAAGCCCTGCCTCGTGTCTGTTTTTCTGACGCCACGATGGCGCACGCCAGCACAGTGGCAGCCGAAGATTCCTGTCCGCTGTTGCTAGGAAAAACAAGCTGCCGCGACACCGTGAGGCAGACACGTCGGAGGGATGGGTAACATTTCTTCATGTTTTTCTGTACGATCATAACCGTGGGTTATACCATTGCATGATAGCTGTCTTTCTAATCCTGTATCGACGCTTATGGTAGGAACATGTCCATTGGATGAGAGAATATCGGTTGTCCTTTCATGGTGGACTCATCAATATGTTCAATATGTTGGTATTGTGATGATCTGACTGTCATCCTATGAATGATGTGTAGATGCTTGGTTTTTAGTCATGAGAATGTCCATCTTCACTTAAGACGGGTTAGCTCTCACAACACGGGTTGTGTCTCAAACGATCTTTGTTTGATCTTGATGGTTTTAGGTTCACCGACGCTTCCTTGGGTCAAGTTCGTGTTGTACATCTCTGACCGATGCCATTTTGCAGTGTTTTTCGCCTCCAAGTGTGTAAATTGGGAACAAAGATTCATCAGATCACTTTTGACGCAACATGCCATGGATGACGCAGCCGAAGATTCTTGTCCGTTGCTGCTTGGAAAAAAACACACTGCGGCGACACCGTGAGGGAGACACGTCTAGATTTCTTCATGTGTTTGTAGTCTGTTGTGTTAACACTGTAGGACCTGTTGAAGTTTCAAAAAAGGGATATGAGGATCGTATCAGTACACGGTAGATGGATGGATAGATAGATAGACAGATAGATAGATAGATAGACAGATAGATAGATAGATAGACAAATAGAGAGGTAGATAGATAGATAGATAGATCGATCGATCGATAGATAGATAGATAGATAGGCGGAAACACTCAATCACCTTTCGATCCATGAGTGGCTTCGCTCTGCCATCCCTGATTCACAACAACCAACCTCTCCTATAGGTTTCCTATTTTTGAAACTTCCGCCACCGCCTTGTGCGGTACTACTGGTTTAATATAATACAATATATAATATAAT